AATTCCTCGCAATTTAGTCAGGACCCCGCTCCCATCTGAGACTTCCTCACAATTTAGTCAGGAACGGCGCTCCCGGTTGAGACTTCCTTGCAATTGAACCAAGACTTTCTCGCAATTTAATCAAGACCCCCGCTCCCGACAGAGAGCCCTTCACATTTGATTTAGGAATTGCGCTCTCGCCTGTCTTCCATGCAATGTATTCAGACATCGCGCTTTCGACACTCAGGAAACACGCTGCGCCAAGGACGCCGCTACACTTTACTTCGTATTCGCGCCGTCGCCATACTCAGGCATCCCGCTTGAATGTCCCACCCGCCCGACCCGCCCGTCAGGGGATCGCCCGCCCGTCGTGGGCCCCCGCCCGAGACTTCCTTCAGCAACGGCGCGTTCGCCCAGGACCTTTTCGAACGCTCGCGCTCTTACATTCCTGCTCCTCCTCCCTCTCCCTCTTCCCTCCTCCCTCCTCTCCTCCCTTCTCTCTCCCTCCTCTCTTCCCTCATCCTTATGCCTCTCTCCCCTATCCCCTCTCCCTCCTCTCCCTCCTCCCTTCTCCCTCCCCTCTCCTGCCTCCTCCCTGACTATATATATATAGAGATCCCCTCTTGTTGTTGTTGTTGTTGCTTGTTTTGTTCTCTCTCTCTCTCTCTCTCTGTCTCTTTTTCTACCTCTCGTATCTCTCTCTTTCTCTCTCTCTCTCTCTCTCTCTCTCTCTCTCTCTCTCTCTATCACTATAGTTCTTTTTTTGTTGTGGTTGTGTTTCTTTCTCTCTCTCTCTCTCTCTCTCTCTCTCCCTCTAATAACCCCCCCTCTTCGCTCCGTCTCTCCTGGCGTTGTCCCTCTTCCTTCGTTCCTCCCCCTCCCTTGCTCCCACTCTCCCTCGTTCTCCCATCCTCTGTTTGCAAGGCCAACAGCAATGCCCATGGCGGGCACAGGTACGCCCACGAAGGAATTGTCCACCCGTTCAGGTTTGCCCACCTGTCGAAGCCCGCCGCCCCCCGCAATGAGAAAGACTCCCCCCGAAGGGGGTGTGATCGAAGACAAAAAGGGCGGGTACCGAGGGTGCGGGGAAACCGTTTTGGATGACACGCGGGCAAGTAAGAGCGAACAGTGTTAGAATGATTGTTGTTGGTGGTGGTGTTGTAGTTGTTGTGGTTGTTGTTGCTGTTGTTGTTGGTGTTCTTGGTTCTGTTGTTGTTGAACTCCCATTTCTGAAGGATAAGTATTGCTGGTCCCCCCGGTGCACATTGTATTTTCTCAATTGAAATGCCTTTTCCTGGGGCTCGCACCCGGTTTTTTCCCCCAAAAAAATCTTGAAGCTCAAACTGGGCCCCTGGCCCCCGCGCTACAACAACAACGACTCCCACCTGAGACTTCCTCACCATTTAGCCCGGACCCCCGCTCCCGCCTGACACTTTCTCGCATGTTATTCAGGAATCGCGCTCTCGCTTGGACTTCCTGACAATTAAATTCAGGAATCGCTCTCTCGGCGCTCTGGAGTCGCGCTCTCGCTGGAGACTTGCTTGCAATTTACTCAGGAATAGCGCCCTTGCGTTCGAGTTTCTCGTGATTTACTCAACGCCACGCCGCCGACACTCAGGCACCCAGGAGTCGCGCTCACGCTTAGGACTCCCTCGCAGATCACTTAGGAATCGGGATCTCGCTGCCCTTCGTGGCCCCGTAGCAACCCTTCGTGGCCCCATCGCTGCCCTTCGTGGACCCGTTGCTGCCCTTCGTGGCCCCCTCGCTGCCCTTAGTGGCTCCATTGCAACCCTTCGTGGCCCCCTCGCTGCCCTTCGTGGCCCCGTTGCAGCCCTTTGTGGCCCCCTCGGTGCCCTTCGTGGCCCCGTTGCAGCCCTTCGTGGCCCCCTCGCTGCCCTTCGTGGCCCCGTGGCAGCCCTTCGTGGCTGCCTCGCTTCCCTTCGCAGCCCCGTTGCACCCCTTCGTAGCCCCGTTGCTGCCCTTCGTGGCCCCGTTGCTGCCCTTCGTGGCCCCCTCGCTGCCATTCGTGGCCCCGTTGCTGCCCTTCGTGGCCCCCTCGCTGCCCTTCTTGGCCCCGTTGCAGCCCTTTGTGGCCCCCTCGCTGCCCTTCGTGGCCCCGTTGCAACCCTTCGTGGCCCCCTCGCTGCCCTTCGTGGCCCCGTGGCAGTTTCCATTCGTAGCCCCGTTGCAGCACGTCGTGGCCCCCTCGCTGCCCTTCGTGGCCCCATATATGTATGCCCTTCGTGGCCCCCGCTCGTTCGCGCCCGTCGTGGCCCCATGTGCATGCCCTTCGTGGCCCCGCTGTCGCCCTTTGTGGCCCCAACACTGCCCTTCGTGGCCCCGCTGCTACCCTCAATGGCCCCGTCCTTGTTTTCACGGTCCAATATACGCATGCCCTTCGTGGCCCCAGCTCGTTCGCGCCCGTCGTGGCCCCATGCGCATGCCTTTCCGTGGCCCCGCTGTCGCCCTTCGTGGCCCCCCCGCTGTCCTACGTGGCCCAGTTGCTACCCTCAGTGGCCCCGTCGTTGCTTTCTGTGGCCCCGCTTTATCTGCCCTTCGTGGCCCCCGCTCGTTTGTGCTTTCCGTGGCCACATACGCATTTCCTTCGGGTCCCCGCTGTCGCCCTTCGTGGCCTACTTCGTGCCCTTCGTGGCCCTGCTGTCGTTCTCTCTCTCGCTTTCGGTTTCGCTCGTCGTCGTCGTCGCCGTCGTCGCCGTCGTCGTCGTCGTCGTCGTCGTCGTCGTCGTGGTCGGTCCCCTGTCCGTCCCTGTTGGGGTCAGGTTGCCGCAGATCAGCGCTGCCGCTGGCCAGGCCGACGGTTCGCGGCCGCCCCATCGCTTGCCAGGACCCGGCCTGCAGGAAAGGAAGGTCTACCCCCCAAAAAGGGTACGATCGAACACGAAGAAGGCGGGTACCGAGGGATTGGGAAATACGCGTTAACGGACAGTCGGGCAGATAAGAGCGAACAGTCCCAAAATGATTGTTGTTGTTGTCGTCGCCCCCCCTGCGACGCACCCCACAACCCACCCGCGACCCACCCCGCGACCAACCCCGCGACCCAACCCGCAACCCACAACCCGCGACCCACCCCGCGACCCACCCGCGACCCACCCCGCGACCCACCCGCGACCCACCCGCGACCGATCCACATGTGTTTGAAGAAAGAATCGGCGCCTGCGGCGGGCTGGTTGCATAATTTGTGAAACTTTGGCGCCTGCGGCGGGCTCCTTCAGAGTCTCGCAGACTGCCGACGTCCCCACCGCCCCTCACTCTTATCCGCATCTGCGGGGTGCTGGGCACGCCCCCTCATCCGCATCACCTCGTCCCCTCCGCCCCCTCACTCTTATCCGCAGTCGCGGGCAAGAGTGAGGGGGCGGCGGGGACGTCTGCAGTCTGCAAGGTTCTGAGGAGGCCCGCCGTAGGCCCTATTTTTTTTTTCAAATTATACACAGAGCACGCCGCAGGCGCCGATTCTTCGTTAAAGCAATGTGGGTTGGTCGCTGGGTGTGTCGCGGTTGGATCGCGGGTGGATCGCGGGTGGATCGCGGGCCGGGTCGCGGGCCGGGTCGCGGGTGGGTCGCGGGTGGGTCGCGGGCGGGTCGGGTCGCGGGGTGGGTCGCGGGCCGGGTCGCGGGTTGGGTCGCGGTCTGGGTCGCGGGGGGGACGACGTCAAACAACATCAACAACAACGACAACAGCAACAACAACAACAACAACGACGACGACAACAACAACAACAACAACAACAACAACAACAACAGCAGCAGCAGCAGCAACAACAGCAGCAGCAGCAACAACAACAACAACAACAACAACAACAACAACAACAACGACAACAACAACAACGACAACAACAACAACACCAACCACAACAACGACAACGACGACAACAACAACAACAACAACCATGACAACAGCAACAGCAACAGCAACAGCAACAACAACATCAACAACAATAACAATCCGTTGAAGACTGTTCGTTCCTATCTGCTCACGTGTCAATCATTACGTACATCCCAAGCCCTCGGTACCCGCCCTCGTCGTCTTCGATCGTACCCCCTTGGGGGTATATCTTTCCTTACCTGCCTCGCGCATGTTGTGCAGCCCCAAAAACAAGGGAAGATAAGACGGGTGGAAGGGGGAGGGAGAAGGATGGAGCACGAGAGAAATTGGCAGGAGGGGGGCAAGTAGCAGAAAACAAGTGGTGGAACCAGACGGACACATCGGGTGGGCAGACCCATAGCAGGCAGGTCGACAGGCGGGCCCAGGCGACCAGGTCGAGCAGGCGGGTTGCTGAAGCGTTTGTCCTGCATGAATCGCGAGGAAGTCTGGAGCGATAGCGCGATTCCCAAGTAAATCGTGAGAAAAGCCAGAGCGAGAGCGTGATTGCTGAGCGCCGATGGCGCCTCATCTGAATAAATTGCGAGGATCCATGCGAGAGCGCGTTTCGCATACAAATTGTGAGGAAGTCCCGCGCGAGAGCGCGGTTTGGGAATTAATTGTGAGGAAGTATCAGGCGGGAGCCGCTGTTGTTGTAAACCGGGGGGTCAACAACAGAGTTTGAGCCCCATGACTTTCCCTGATAAAAAACAGAATGCGAGCCCTGGGTGAAGCCCCACAATTTAAAGAAATACAATAGTCACCGGAGGGGGGATCAACAATAATTATTCTTCAGTCGTGAGAGCTGAACAACAAAACCACCAACAACGACAACAGCAACCACAACAATTAGAACAACAACCACCACCACAAACAAACAAACTATCAATCAATCATACAAATAAACAACAACAATAATCCGCATCGCGGAATCCCACTTCAGCCGCCACGCACTCAGGGACAGTGAATGACCGTTCGGCCCCCTCACTCTGATCTACCGGCCGCCGAGGCCCTCGAAAGTCCCCCCCCAGGCGGCGTTCATGGATAGATCCCCGCCTCAGATCTGTTCTTCCTCGGCTTCGTCCGTCCCGAGAAACCGCCGCAGCCCCCCCCCCCCCGCCCCCCCCCCCGCGGGGCGTGTCCCTCGCGACGGGCGCCGGGCTTCCTCGCCTCGGTCAGGACTCCTTCGGACGGGGCCCCCTCATGCTCCTCCCCGCCTCCTCTGCGGCGAAGGCGGGCCAGCAACCCTGGTCAGCGTTCCTCTCTCCGTCCTCCGTCCTCCCTGCTCCATCCTCCCTGCTGATGCGGAAAAGGGTGAACATACCGGCCATCAAGGCAGCGGGACCCATGCCAGACATAGCGATGCTCAAGCAGGACGTTGCCAAGTCAGTGCTGCTCGAGTCCGACTACGTGCTCGACGATGGGGCCAGGGCCACGCTACAGGAAGGATCAGAAGGTCAAGTACTGGCGAGGCCGACGATACAGCATGCCGAGAGGTACGACCTGAACCAGTTCCGCACCGACAAGTTCAGCGGAGTGACTACAGAGGTGATGATCCCGTGGAGGATACAAAGAGCTGAGATCTTTGTGCTCAACCTGTTCTGCGGGCACAGGCGCAAGGACGACATACAGCATGCGTTCGAGTCGGCGCCGAAGTTCGAGGTGATGTCCGACATCATGATCCTCAGCATCGACGTGGCGATCGACGCGCAGCGCTGTGACCTGATGCGCCACGACAGCTTGATGGTATTCCATGAGGGCATCCTAAGAAGGCAGATCGTGCTGTCGGGAGGAGGGCCGCCGTGCGAGACATGGAGTGCAGCGAGGTGGTCGGAGCAGCCAGGGCCGCCACCGCTCCGATCACATGACCAGCTCTGGGGAGTGGCCCACGCGTCACCGCAGCGGCGGGTCCAGCTCGCCGTGGGGAACGCCCTGATGCAATCCATGGTGCTCCTCCTCGCGGCGCACCTGGTGGCGGGCACGGCAGGGTGGTCGGAGCACCCGATCCCGTGCAGCTGGCGGCTGGCCGCCGTCCCATCATGGACGTGGGAGCCGTGGCTTGCGCTGCAGTCGGCGCCGTGCACCACGACCACCGACTTCGACCAGTGCGAGCACGGCCAGCTGAGCAGGGCCCCGACCAGGCTCTTTGGGCTCCGCATGGCGGGGCTGCACCGCCGCCTGGTTGCGACGCCCGGGGGAGGAAAATGCTCCCACCGGCGTGAGGCCCACGCGACGCTGCTAGGACGTGAGGATGGCTCCAGGGCCTTCCGGACGGCGCGGAAGAAGGTCTACCCCCCGGGCCTCTGTCGCTGCATCGCGGAGAGCATTCTGGAGACGCTCGAATCGGCCCTGGATGCGGCGCTCCCGGAGGCTCCTAGTGATGAATCCCAGTCTCACCACCTCCTCGTGCAGGGCCTGGCCGACTTTTATGTCTCAGAGATCCCGGTGGTTGAGGATGGGGCCAGGGTGTGGGCTGCGGATTTTGCGAGGGGGAAGGGCCGCAGCAGGCCTGACCCAGAGAGGGGCCGCTTTGAGGCCCCGAACCCCCCCGCCCAGGATCCCCCAGGCCCCTCCCAGGATCCTGAGGGCGGCCAAGGCCCCGCGGAGGAGGAGGCCTACGCTGCTGAGGTAATCGGAATCTCCCCTCTCCTCTGTCCCCCGACTCCGCCTCCGCCTCCGCCTCTCCCCTCCCGCCCTCCTCTGACCGACACCCAGCGGCGCAGGATAGCCGAGAATAAGGCCAAGGCCCAGCGGATACGGCAAGAACGCCGTAGGCTGTGGGCCTCCAGGGGCCTAGACCTGCGACTCGCCTGGGGGGCCCCAGAGGGCTGCCCCATGCAGGTGAGCCCCTGCGGGGCTCGGGCTGGCTTGTCAAGGAGCGGGCCAGCCTG